GCTTATTTTCTGGAAATATTATATATATATATCAATACCTTCTACATTTTAACGCAATTATACACACTTAGAAATATATACAAACATACTTAAGCATCGTGGGCTCCTAATTTGCCATCAGACTAACCGTGGGTGGTTTTTCTCCCCAAGTAACGCAAATGCGGGCTAGTTTCATCAAAAAGTCTTCTACGAAGGCGAATTTCTCCAAATACTTGATACAGGAGTTCTCTTATTTCCTGGATTGTGTTATAAATTACAAGGCTACGGAATTGAACATAAGTAGTCATAAACTCAAAATTACTTTGGCTGTTCAACGACGGATGAATAAAAAAAATAAAAAATAAAAAAAAGCAACGCAGAAGCACAACTTCAAATGAGTTTATCAGGATAATCATATTTTTTGGTTGTTTAGCCATAAGAGTTATTCGCTATATTAAAAAATGCTCTTCGAACCATCTAGCCTTTTTTTTTTTNCTTTTTTTTTTTTTTTTTTTGGCAAGCTAAATAAATATTTTTTTTTTAAATATAAAATGTTGCAACTATATAAGCATTAATTATTTAACATTATGTTATCTAAAAAATTGTAAGAGTTTTTTTTATACAATTTAAGAAATTCTGCTGAAACTTTTTTATAACAATATCACTCAATTTTAAAATATTCATTTTTTTTTTGATGAAAGGTGAAGTTCAAAGATTTATATGTTTAGAACAAATTTAAAATTATCAACTTCTCCCAATTTTTAATTAGCGCAACTCAACTAAAGTAATTATAGTGTATTATAAAACTATCGAGTTCTACTTTGCTTCTCGACTCCATGCTGTAAAAAATATCCCATTTCAGAACCTTTGAGAACAAATATGTACTAGTCTAATGCATAAAGAGTGTTTATGATCGACATTCCAGAGGTCAAGTCGCAAGATGACAGCCGTTTTAATATTCTCATACTATTTCGCGTAAATTATAGGCTGGCTAAAACGAAACGATTAACTTCCACCTGCCTATTTGACCGCTTTGTCTTGAAAGTTTAAACACAATCGTTTTTCAATGATTGTTATTAGACTCTCAGATAAAGTGAAAATCTATATATATATATTTCTCTTACACGGCGAATAAAAAAAGCCTCATTACTACTCTCCGAATGGCAACGCTAGAAAATCGACCAATGATTGCCGCTAAAAATGTCACATGCCAAATCTAGCTGAGGTGCCTCAACGCATAGCGCTTTTAAAAACGGAAACTGAAATAACCTTAAGCTAGGCAGAAGTGAGTAGTTTTTGTCGATAGATCTCTATTTTAGTATTTTGTCGAAAGCACTTTNGCTAATAGTTTTCGCCGAACTAAATCGGGGGTTCCGTCCCCTGCTAGATGTCGCTCATCATGCCCTTCAGACACTCTTTACTTTTATATTGCTTAATACTGATGCCTCAGCTTTAACTCTCTAATATATTATTAATTATATTAAAATCTCCAGCCCTGATCGCTCTAGCGTTCCAAACATACCGGAATTGCTCACGAAGTTGATTGTTTCCGGCTTTGGGACAAATTGCCTAGAAAGCAACGAAGAAAAAAAGATATACTTAACAATATCATATCTCTTCTGATTAAAATTGTTTGTAATGGTAGCGAAATAAGAGCTAGAATTATACGACTGCATGCAAAATTATCTCTGCACTAAATGCTTTTAAAGGATAATGCTTCGATACATTTATCTTGATTACTTGTATGCAACGGTAGACAAAACGTTTATAAATGAGTTTTTGTTAAATTAAGAAAAATATTTTACTAATATTTAAAAGAAATTTCAGCGGAAAACAGGAGATTCAGCATGTATAAAATAATTGTTATAAAATTTATTAGATATTTAAGCGAAGTTAGGCGTATTTATTATTTTCAATTTATAGGCTAAATATCAGTGCTAGCTATCACTCGCCAAATGCTATATGCTTTTGCAGTTTAGTTCATATTGCCTTCGTTAGCTTCTTTATTGTTCAATACATCAGTTTTTATACTTTAATTTAATGATAGTTAATGAAGTGCTCCTACTCACGATCGCAACCGGAATTCGTCTTATATGAACCGCGTACCCCTAAATGCTCATATATTAAACAAATGTTATTATCTATATATATATTTCTCTTACAACGGCGACAAAAAAACGCCTCATTACAACTCCCCGAATGTCACATGCCAAATCTAGCTGAGATGGCCCAACATATAGCGCTTTTAAAAACGGAAACTGAAATAACCTTAAACTAGGCAGAAGTGAGTAGTCTTTGTCGATAGATCTCTATTTTAGTATTTTGTCGAAAGAGCTTTGTTTCACGAATTTATATATTACGAATTTATTTGATGATTTTTGATTTATATATCACGAATTTGTTTATGCAGGTTTTTCCATTGCAATTCACTTATTTCAATTTAGCCAAATTATATAATTATAGCCAAAATTTTTACCTTTTTAAAGAGATATCAGTTTTAGAAATTTAATCTTAGGATTTTATACTATACACATTTCTAATAGGTTTAACGAATTACATGTCAGTTATTTGAATTCAAATTTATTTTAATGACTTAGTAATTACTAAAAAGATGTAATTAAAAAAAGTTGTTCCACGGATTTGATTGTTTTGAATTCTTAGTGTTATAAGGTGTTTATAAGGTGTTGCACAAAGGTAAGGTTTATAAGGTTAGTGTTTATAAGGTGTTGCGCAAAGTTCATTTTGAATTCTTAGAATTTTGTGCATTTGCAATGTACCTAAGTTAGTAGCGAGTGAAGCGAGCTTGGTTTGCGAAGCAAAACATACAAGATTGCGTAGCAATTTTCGGGGGTTGGCGGACGTTAGCGAGCAGGGGGTGCAGCCCACTAGTTATAGATTAATATTAGTACACCATGCCTGCAAACTATATCTGGCTTATAATCTCATTAAAGTTTTAAATTGGAAAGTTAAAGTGTTTATAAGGTGTTTGAGTTTCATTAGCGAAGTTTTGTTTCCATATTAAATAAAACTACATTGTTTCAGAAAATTTTTACTGAGCGTGTTTTTTTCTCTGTTATAACTTAAAAACTATTAAATGAAATTTTACACATTAAGAGAAAAAAGTTTAAGAAAAAAATTCTTTTATCAAAATGATGCGATTAGCTACCGAGTTGTTTTATGTCAAAGATGAAAATTAGTGTTTTCCGTAACGTTGTTAAGTTTAGCAAAAACTGTTCGCAGAAGAAATGTGATTGATTTGAAGTTAAACACTATTATAGTTAGAGAAAATGAATAACTAGTCTTAGTTTGTATTTTGAATTAGTTTTAGAGTTATTAAATAGGTCATATCGACCGTATTTTGGATTTTTCAGTGAAAAGTAAAAACTAGTAGTAGTAAAATTATAATTTTTTTCTGCCACTTTTGACTGAAAAAAAAAAGTGATTAAAAATTTGTTTTTCAAAATTGACCTTTTCTAGTGTAATTTTTATACTATCTCGAAAGGTTAAGCATACGATTTCTTTTTATTTATTTGGAAAGCAACCAAAACTAATCCTCTATTTAAGGATTTATTTTACTTAGAAAACTCGATGTTAANTTGATCATATTTATATAAACTAATATAGTCAGTTTTTCTGTTTCTGCCGCATGGTAAATGGCATCGCATGTGTGTAATGACGTCAGTATGAGTATCATTTCCTGCTCTTTTCTTTTAATTCATTTGCAAGGAATAATTTTTCACTTTAAAAAGTTTAGTTATTTGAATTTGATTAATTATTACCAGTTATTATTACTGGTATTATAGCTACAAAATAAGAAAGTTATTTCCAATCTAACTCTATCACACTATTATTATGCTCATACAAGTGGGGAAAAAGAGCGATTTTTCTCTGCTCCAATAGCAATTTAACTATTACTTCGATAAAATTAAGATGCTGTTAAAATAAAATATGATATTTGAAGAGTTATTTAGTTTAAAGATATTCTTATTTTCAATATCTTATTTCATGTTTTAGGGGTAAAGTAAGAAACACACACGCAATACATTTTAATTAAATTCACAAGTATCAGAAGATTAAGTATAAAGTATAAATAATTATAATAAAATTATTAGTATAAATAAAGTATAATGAAATATAAATAAAGTATAATAAATATAATAAAATATAAAAGCATAATGAAATATAAATGAAGTATAATAAAAATTTTAAAAAGTTAACTTGGCTGTCTTTACAGTTCTCGTTTACTTCATCGCAAATGATCTTTCAAATTAACTTTTTCACTCAGTTCTCCTTGGTGACGTGAATTGTTCAACATCATAACATGAGGCGCTCCTTTCAGTTCATAGCACACCATAATTTTCGAAATAATTCTGCGACTTTTCGATTTTAACAATCACTTTTCCAACATTTCTTTTAAGATCCTGTAATGAAAGTACTCTGTTTTAATTCTTTATAACGTGCTATTACAGTTCATAATGTTTGCAAAATCCCTTGTTCTTATTTATAGAGTAGAGGGAAACTTCTAAAAAATAAAGTCATACCCTCTCGAGGCCACCCTATTGTGTGGTCCAAGGCTTTTTAATTTTAATTATACAATTAATATTAAAATGTTTATTTAGTTTTAATTAAACATTTCAAAATCTTATGAACAAGTGTACTCGAAAAATTATTGTTATTCTTTACTGCAACATTATTTTTAACTTTTCACTCATTTATTTTTCTTGAGCATATATTGTATTTTCCACATTGCTTTCATACATTACTTAAAGCGCTTTTTTTTCTTCTTATACATAACTTACTTTTATACGCAATGCTTTTTCTTGTTTGATTTTCTTATGGGTTATTTCACTTTTAAGTTTATTCGTTTCTACATTTATTCGTTTCTACGTATATTATATTGTAAAATTTACGCGTTATTACATTTTACGCTTATTGTTCTTTATAAAATTACTTTTGTTTCTTTTTCTCATGCATTACTTTTATTTATGTACGCGATACTTTACTGTATATTTACGTTTTTTTATGAGCTCTATTTACGCTTCTGATCTTCTTAAATGTTACTTTTTCACTTTTAATTTTTTATACATTATTTTTGCTTAATTTACACACTATCTACTTTATATTTAATTTTGCTTATGCGTAATTTTTTCGTCTCTCTACACGCATTTATTTTTCTTACGCATAAAAAAGTTTAACTTATACACTTTGATTTTATTAATTACATAACTTACGTCACGATTTTAAATGCTTTCAGCTGACAAATTGTTTTATTTACTTACATCGTGATTTTTTTCTTGAAAGCAATTTGTTTTAGTATACGAAATTATGTTTTCTACTTTATTTATATTGCGTATTCTTTTTCTTTTCTTTAAAATTTATATAAATGCTGGTTAAAATGAAAGCTAAAATTATTGAGCTCTTCTTTTATATTGCTTACCTTTAAAAAGCTAAAATGTCGAATCTTGGTTGAATTTGTATTTTCATGAAGTTTTCAAAAGCTGAAAAAATATCACAAATTGATTATTATTGCATAAACACTTATGCAACATTATAGGGATCTTTCAAACATTATGAAAGGCCATGAGGGGGTTTGTGATTTACTAATTTTATCAGACAAGTGGAAGGCGGTGTATGAGTCACTCTTACGTGAGACATTAAAATAATATCATCTTTGAAATTTTTCTTTAAAAATATCAATTGAAGTAACTTAAAATAAAAGTGAAGAAAGAAAAAGTTGGACAATGTTAGCTGTTATGTGTTTCGGAGATCAAGAATTTTAACACAAAACAAAAATATTGAATATTCTTTTAAAATTTAATAAAATGAATTGGAATATCTGCTAATTTTATTTTTTGAAAAGCGACCTTGTTTTTTGGAATTCTAAAATTAGATTACTTCAGAAAGAGCTAAAATTCGAGCAAGTTGGTGCTTTATTACTTTCTCACTTAAGCATAGGATGTGATTTGCTTATTTTCAGTGACACTATAACAATGAAAACCACCAACTCAAATATTTTTATGCAAAAAAAGTAAATATTTCATTAACTTTTTTTCTTCAATATTATTCTCTTTGGTATTTAAGCAGTTTCCGAACTATATCTTAACCTAACCAATTGAAAAAGGTGTCAAACATTTAAAGGAAGGAACACTTCAGTTTAATATTTTTTCCGGAACCACGTCATCTTGAAAATAATTCCAATTTTCATCTACTCTATTATTCATTAACCCAAATTATTCATTATTGTTTGTTTTCTCAATTTGACCTTCATTAAAATATGCAAAACGAGAAAGCTGCAAGGCACTTCCAACTTGTATAAGCTCTATGGAGTAGGGGAGAGTGGGGTCAATTGTAACATTTTTTATTTAACTATTTTTAACTAACGAAAATTCCAATATATTATTAGTATTAATTGACAGACGAATAAAGTAGACTATCCTGTACTAGAAAAAAAAACCTTATTTTAAATGTTATTGTATTAGTTATTAACAATTTTTGACAGTCGTGCACTTGTTACAATTGTCCCCACTTACGGGGTCAATTGTAACAGTTCATAAATTCAACTAAAACATTGTTAATTATACATATTATCATATATTTTTTATTGATCAAAATAGTAGTGATATTTTAGGAGTAAAAANAAAATACCTGCCAATTATACTTACGTAGCGTGAGTTACGTACCAGAGCTATGACGAATCACAAATTACTATTCTCTATCATAAAGACAACATCCTGTCCTATAAAATGTAAATTAATCAATTAGATATGAATAAAATATCAGCTTTGTAAAATAATAATAAATTTGTGACGCATATGAATATGTGGTCACTATTTATTTGTTCGAAGAGAAATTTTATAACAACACTGTTCAATGCGTCCAATTCTTCCCCATACCTTAGCCCTCTAAACACAAAGATGAGTTATCAGTCACCACCGGCAACAAGAAGAATAAAATATATTAAAAATGGCTATTAAACAAATGCCTGCCATTCGCCAACTGACGCTACTTTTTTCTGCCAAAATTGCGCCATGTGCTCCAAAATCAGTGATTTCGTCTTCTTGTATTACGTAAGAAAGATGCTATTTTCACCGAAACTTTCATTCCACGCATTCTCGTTGTTGTTTCTAATGTCACTTGCCTATACCAGCAAGCCCGCTAGGTCGAGCAAATCAAATTTTAAAGCAGAGGGTGCGTTTCTTATTTTTCAGTAGCTCCATCTATGATCAAGAATGCGACTTCAGATACACACGTCGCAGCGCGTTTGAAGGGTGGACCCATTCATACATCCACAGATCATAATTTTGACCTAAACCAGAGAACGATCTATTTCCAATTCAGTTCCCCTAGAAGTATGATTTGCTAAGGATACATGGAGGATTTTGTGACCTGTCAGATTTAACGTGCACCAGTCCCCATTTACTGCACGGGGAGAGCCGCTAGGGATTGAACTCACGACCACTTCGACATGGTACGCATTCTTCCGTTCGCAGACGTTACAAGATTACTAATAAGATTTTAATGACGAATAAAACTTTTTTTTTATTTTTTCCATTTGCAGCAAAACGAAGAAAAGATATTTACAGTGATAAAGGTTTCTTTTGAGAATTGAAATTTTTTTTTTTATTAGAATTAAATTCTAAATTATTGTTTTTAATGGCAATTTTATTCAGGTGCATTTTTAAGTGTTTTTTTGATAGACTTTTCTATCGTCGCATCGTTCTAAAATTTTCGGCTTTTGAGTTTTGCTTTAAGAATTAAAAAAAAAAAAAAATTTCTCCATTTTTTATTTTTCTATAATTTTTTTTAGATCTTTGTTTATACAAGGATGTGGTAGTTTTTCCCGAAATTGCGGTAATCTGAATAATTGAGATTTTAGAACTTTTTTTTTTTTTTGTTATTCTTTATTTGAAATTTTTTCTTCTATCAACGTTTTTATTACGACGCGTTATTTCTTAAGAGCATTACTGATGACTTAATTTTTTTATCTTAATTTTTTCCTACATAATATGTAGAAATAAAATTTTGCTTCTGAATTCAAAACAGTCTATTTTCCTCTTTCGCTCCATTCGTAATTGTCAGAAACACTGTTAGTATCGCTTTTAGACTTGTTTTATATTGTTTTTGTTTTATTCCTCGGTATCTTTATTATTTTGCTATAAGTAGTCATTCTGATATATATTTTTTTCTATTTCTTGCGTTTTTTTTTTATGTAATTTCATTTTTTCAATAAATGTAAACTTTTTTTTTATAATTGCAGTGTTTTTAGCATATTATTTATGCTAACATGAAAGGCTGATAATTTGCTCAAAACTTTTAATAAATATAGTTGAAAATTAAGTAAGGTATTTGCATATTCTTCTTACTTTTTCCCGTCCACTTAATAATTTCAATTCTTTCAATTCATTTAATATTTGGGGACAACTATTATAGTTTTTTCTCTCTTTATCTTTACAATTTTTGATAAGCGTTGATTGCCATAAGTTGTTTCCTGTAAGACGCAGAATTTTGTTTTCTGCAAAAGATTGAGTAATGTTTAAAAAAAATTGAGATTTACAGTTTACGAGTACACGAAACTTTCGCATATCTGGAATTTGTAGAGTGTGTACAGTAACATGGATTTCTGATCGTCTTTTTTTCTCTTAAATTTTTTATTTTCAATAATCTATTTAAAAGTCTCATGTCAGTTTGAATTGTACGTATTTTTCATTTTTGAATAATGAAACTCTGAACAATTTTATTTTACACTAGGGCTGTATTTCAGGGGAGCTGAATATCGTTATCAAAGATTTATTTCGAAATCAAGTTAATTTCCCATCAAATTTTAATCTATGGATGTTAAAAAAAGTAATTTAATAAATTATATGGCGTTATATTAATCCCAATAATATCAGTTTCGTTTAGTATCTAATACACTTTACGACTCTAAACTAACACAAATTTTATCTAGCATTACTGGTTTAAAAGATTAAGCCCTAAATTTTATAAGATAAAAACAAAACTATAACTACTTAACAACACTACTTAACAACACTACTAACAAAACTACTTAAAGAGGTACAGAATTTTTTTCTTCTCCATCTTAGAAATGAATCGTGTAGTGTAATTGATATTTTGAGAAATGCTTTACATAAATAATATGGATAGTTTTGGATATTGTTTTAAATTTCTAATTTTTGAAAAAGTGGCAACTATAAAAATGCCACTGGCTGATAACAATTTCTTACTAATTTTGCAATATTTCGCTCAGCTAAAAAATCAAAAAGTTTAAGCAAAATTTACTTTTGGTTAAATTTGTGATCGAAACCTAAGTTTGAGTTTTACTGCAAAACGTTAGCAAATTATTGCAAATAGTTCGCCCAAAAGTTTTGTAAGGGAAGCCACACACAAAAAAAGAAAACAAAAAATGTGGCGACTTGATGACGTAGGAAAAAGTTTGAACCTTGTTATCAATCTTTAAAAATTAAAATTCTCAACGTGGACGCTTAAGTCTTCTACAGGACCAATTGTAAGTTACAGAAAAAATAAATTTTTAAACATTAAGTAATACGATATAAAAAAAAAATTCTACCAAAACATTATTTACACTTTTATGTCTACACATATGTTATGTAATTATCTCAAGTAATTATCTTAATTAAAGTGTCTTAACTAGAAACAAGTTTGAATTTTAAGAGCGAACGTTTGCCCTTTGTATGAAATTGTTAGCCCAAGTATACGTTATTTTACCTACCAAAGCGCTGCGGAAAAAGCAATGTTTAGTTTTCTTTATGATGAGAAAGTTTGAATTTTAATCTCATCGTAAGAAATAATCAGGCCCATAATTTGTTTTCGTTAATCAACTTGTTAATTGTACCACCAAAACTAGTTTTATTTTACTTTTACTAAGAAATTGCAATTTATGACTTAGATACTTCAAGTATGAATTTTTCCTGTCGTAGCCTATTACAATGTCGTAAGTTAGCATTGCTTATAATCTCCCCCTCCCCTCTCATTTATCAGAAAAGAATCAGCAAATCATATTACCAGAACTATGGGGCATCGCAAAATACCTGCTAATTATATACCATCCTCATTACAAAAACAAGAATCTGAAGGATAAAACTCTAAAAAGTAATAAGATTTCAATGAAGTTATGAATATATCAATTCGAATCATTCGAAAAATTATATTTATAAATTTTTGACACTGCATAACCCTTTATGTACCGATCAGACTTTTAAGTTGAACTATTAATATTTTTATAAAGCATTGAAACGGAACAAAATATCCCATTTGAACTTGCCTGTCCCTGTAATATGACTTAACGTTTATTATTACTAGTTGCCAACACACAATTATTTGAAGTTTAACATCAATGTAACCATTTATATGTTGGTAAGTCGTTCCAGGAAGCCATTTTATTATTCCTCAATTTCATTCCTCAATTCTCAGCTTTCTATTAAGATCAATTTTGCAAGCAAGTCTCTCATATTTTCTTACTGATTCATTAATATTTTCAACTAGTTAAGAAACAAAGTATTAAATGCTTGACTTAAATTAAAATTTGATTAAGAGTTGTAAATTCCATATTGAGAATATTATGAAAAATAGGAAAATAACATTTAATTTTTTTAAAAAAGTATTTGTCAAAGTGTAAAATAGACTATATTTAATGGGACAAAAAAGTTTCTCACTCTTTTGATAATTTTTTTAATAAATTGGTATATAAAGTGTTAAGTACAGTAAAAGTTTGATTCAACAAGTTCGGCATGTAATAAGAAATTCATTATTACGGCAAGTTGCTGACAAAATTCTGTCATTTAAGATTCCAGAAATATTTATATAACAATTTAAAAATTACTATCTTACCGCTATTACGACGAAAATGCTTTTTAGGAAAATCTACCGCTTAAGTGAGCAATATACGAAAAAAGGAATTTATTACTTCTAAAAAATACTAAACCTTTTCTTCTGCTGTTATAAAATGCATTGGTGTCCATGCAACAGGCTGTCAAAAAAGGTGATTTGATCTACGGATAGGGCATTGGCCTTAGCAGACATGAGTTCCAAAATTTGATAAGAAGTATATATCGATTTGAGACTACCTCGATATTTTACTAGACACGTAGTGAGAGTAACAAGACTAGAGACTTCCACACTTTGAGACTACTACGCATTGAGACTACCGCCACTTAAAACTTTCATGACTTGAGACTCACAGATGACTTGAAACTACCGTAACTTGAGACTATCACAAACTGAGACTTCCAAGTATTTAGAATATCCAATACTTCAGAATATCACGACCTGAGACAACTAGGTCATACGACAACCACAAACATGAGACTAACACGACTTGAGACTACACAATCAATGTTAAATCTCTCTCGCATGTTTATTTGGAAACTAAAATAACATTAGCTTGTTAACCACATGTAAATTCAATTTTTTATGACTCTTCATATGAATATATTTATCCCATACTTTTTTGTTTTAAAATTTGAAATTTATTAATATAAATTGAATTTATAGCAACAGACTTTGTAGAATCAATCTCTAGCATTAGTTTTAAGCATCTGAATACCAATCTGAAAACTAAAGCATCGGAATTTAAAACAATAAAAAAAAAATTAAAATTTTCTTTTTAAATCTTTTAATGATTGCAAGATAGAACAATTGGAAAAAAAAATCCGTACTTTTAACAAGTCATATTTGTATCGCCTTTCCACACTAAAATACCATACATCAATTTCAAAC